TTAGGGTTTCGGGTTTAGGGTTTAAGGGAGTTGAGGGAGCTTTTTTGGGGTATGGGGGGGGGGGGTTTTTGAGGCATAGAGGTGAGCAAGTAGGCGAGTTCACAGAGTTTGCTTGACAGGATTTGCCTGAAACAAGGAATCACCCCTGGGCCCTAAACCCTAAACTCTACAACCTAGACCTAAACCCTAACCCTACTGCGTTCCGCACCGAAACCTGAGAAACGCCACTTATTGCAGCAGAATTCCGGACCATGGGCCTACGAGTTCAGGGCTGAGGGGTTTAGGGTTTAGAGCTTTAGGCTAAAGGCTTCGAGCACGGCTTTCCCCAAAGTCGGCGACTTAGATTTCAATAAAGTCTCTACAGGGTTTTAGTAAATTTTAGAGGGTTCGAGATGGGGGCCCTTACGAGTAGAATGGGGTTTGGTACAGTATTATAGTCAAGTTCACGGGGGCTATAACGGAATGCTGCTAAAACATGATTCGCGCTATTTTGTAGAGTATATCTTGCAACACAGGCTTGGTCCCAGACGTTGGGAGCCCTCATCATGCCATCTTTCTCAGAAGTACCCGGCGCCAACTCAACAGCTGAGGCGCGGTCTTCCAAACCCTTCCCAGCTGTTTTCCACTCCGACTCGTGTATCTTTTTCATATGTCTTCGCCAGTCCTGTTGATTGATTTCTGCTGCACAGAGGCAGCAGTGCCTCTCGAGGAATCGGAGAAGTGGCTTATGTGAGGCAGCCGCTGCTGTGGTCGTGTCTTGGAGCAGCTAGTCCACTCTGGCCACCGTACAGTCGGAGCACCTGGCCGTGGTCGTTTGCGGCTGCTCCGGGAAACAACGCGTGCCCAGGCAGTGGCGAGCGCCGTTTGAAACAGCACCACACAGTTTCTTAGGTGGCGATCCTTGGAGTGCACCTTCTGAGTGCAGAGCTCGCAGTCGTGGTCGCGGGTTTAGGGTCTAGGGTTCAGGGTTTAGCGTTTAAGATTTGGGGTGCAGGGTTTAGACCGGTTGTGGTCTCTTTGACAATATTAATATAATAAGGACCTCGAAGCAACATTGTTGTAGTTATTTAAGCCTGTAGATTATGTAGAAGAATAGCCCCGTATAGGTGTTGGGCCATTATTTTGACCTCGGCCCCCGGCCGAAGCGGTCAGAGGTTCCTATTCGGACTTCCTCTGCTCCTGCAGTGATCAGTGACCCCTAAACCCTAAACCCTAAACCCTAAACCCTAAACCCTAAACCCCCACCCTCCCACCTAAGGGGGGTGACTGCTGCCCCCCAAACCCCCCACGCCCCGCCCCTCCCCGTTGGCCCGGCCGGGCCGAGGCGGACGACGCGAAGCGTTTGAATTACTTCGTTTTTGGGGGGCTGTAGGAAAACTTCAGGGTACATGTTTGGCAAAAGACACACGTTTATTCGTGTCCCACTGTGCAGGCCCAGGTAGTACAGTACCTCAGCATTTATGTTTCTGCATGCCCCGCAGGCTGCTGAACCTCTTATGCTGACCAAATTTTGGCAGGATCTGACACAGAAAAACTCACGGCACCGACACCTCACAGTACCGCGAAAGTCCTAAGCCCGAGTTCCCAAAAACCCTGACCGATGTTTTGGTTTCGGGTTTAGGGTTTAGGGTTTTAGGGTTTTAGAGTTTTAGGGTTTGGGGTTTAGGGTTTGGCTACGAAACACCACAACCCCTTCCTACATACGCCCTCACGCAGAAAATCGACAGCTCCTTGTCAGAAGTCACCTCACCTTGGGGACCAAGTGACCCTTATAAGTAGGGGCCCTATACCCTTGTACTATGAATCCGTATATGATACTATATGGTATATGAACCTAAAACCCTTTTAGGGTTCATTTCGTCGTTACGGCATTAAAAATCTCGGTGTCTACCTGCACCCCGCCCTTTTGCTTTTCAGGAGCTCTTAACATAGGGGCCTGAATAATGAGAATAGGCTTTTGGGGTATATTGTACTATACTTGTAGTAAGGACCCTCCCCCCCAAAAAAATATTTTTATGACTATAGTACAATGTACGCCGAAACCTGATTCTAAGTATTAAGGCCCCTATATGACACCCCAAAACCTCCAAGTTCGATGTGTCCCTGAACCACAGACCCACCATCCCCCAACACCCCCCGTTTAGGGTTCAGGGTTTAGGGTTTAGGGTTTAGGGTCTAGGGCAAAAAACATGCGCCCGAAGCTCAAAGAGCGGAAAACCCCGGAAACCCTACAGCCTTAAACCGGCGAGCCCTAAAACCCTAAACCCCGAAACCCCTAAAGCCTTAAACAGCTGAGCCCTAAAACCAACAAAGTCTGGGTAGCAACCACCAAAATCAAAGCCCATTTGCCTTGGCAAAGCCCTTAAAACCTAAACTCTAAACCCTGAACCTTAAACCCTAAACCCTAAGCCCATGCAAACGCGAGGCTGGGCCAAGCAGAGCAACCTCATTGTTGTCCCGGCCTCATTCATCGGTTCAGGGGTTCTGGGGTTTAGGATTTAAGGGTTTAGGGTTTTGGATTTAAGGGTTCAGGGTTTAGGGTTTAGGGTTAGGATTTCAGGTTCATGAACGCCCTAAAGCCTAAACCCTAAACGGCTCCTATAAGGGTTGATTAAGGGGCGTTTGGGGTGTTGGGTTTAAGGGCTCGGGCTTGGCGGGTGTAGCATCTTAGAGTTCTGAGTTGTCTGGGAATGCTTGCAACCTGAAACCGAAGCTCCCCCCTTCAAAAGGCTCTTCAACAATTTCAGCTTAGGGTTTAGAGTTCAGGGTTTTTGGTTAAGGGGGTTTTGAAATTAAGGTGTTCAGTTTTTTGTTGAGGGCATATTGATAGGCCCCTTTGCCTTCTGCGACACAACGCTTCAGCCTTGAGGCAAAGTGGTGTGATCTGGGTTTAGGGTGTAGGGCTTAATTAGGGAGTTTAGGGCTTTGGGTTTAGGGGTGCGTGAACCGTGAACGGAAAAAGCTGAGATTCTGGGGTGAGGGGTTCAAGGCCAAAAAGTTTCGGGTCACAGCTACCTGCACAGACACTCTTTTGCTGACGCACCTCCTGCGTCCTTTCGCACCTGCCCAGATCCTGGTAGAAACAGGCTGTGCCTTGGAGATCGTCAACCTCTCGCCGAGGAAGATGACTGCGTTACAGCGCGCGGAACCTCCTAGGGTCCGTCCAAAGGTGAAGATGAGACAAGCGTCAGCACAGATCCCCTGCATTTTGGATCTCTGACGATCGGAACCTTCTTCAACTTGCTGTAATGTGTGCCCAGTCCAAGGCGGCCCTGCTTCTTCTGATGCTGGCCCCACCGATCGTACACGAAGCCAAATTCAGAGCTGTTCTTCAGAAGCAAGTGAGCACCCTGTCAAGGAGCTCTACACGAAAACCTAAAGCACCCTACCCTCAACCCTACACCCTAAAGCCTAAACCCTATACCCTATACTCAGACCCTAACACCTCAAAGCGGAACAGCTGTCGATCTTGAACTCTTGGAAGTCCTGGGTTCATGGGATCTTCAGCCAAAAGCGACCCTAAACCCTGAACCCAACCCTTTAAGGCTTGGGGTTTGGGGTTTAGGGGTTTAGGGGTTTAAGGTTATTTAGGGTTTAGGTGTTTTAGGGTTTAGGGTTTAGGGTTAGTCAGAAAGCTTGAACTGGTTGACACTGGCTGGGTTCTTAGTAGTAAAGCATCTAACCTTTGGCAGTTTTTGGGGGTGCTGTAACCCCTGCGTATTCGCAAAGGTCAACCTTTCGTTCCTCTCCCTAAACCCAAGCCCTGAACCCAAAAGCTTAAGCCTTCGAGCAAGAATTGCGAAATCGGCATGTTTGCTTTCTATTAAACGGGCGCCTTAATCGGCAGAGTCTGTGAGGGCTTAATGTTTAGGGTTTAAGTTTAGGGGTTTAAGGTTAAAGGCGAGGGAATTAAGGGTTCAGGGTTTGGGGGTTCAGGGGTTTAGGGTTTATAGTGCTTAAGTTGGGGGCTAACTTGGAATCTTGATCACGCTTGCAGAATGGCTTGGTTTTGGTTTCTGGTTGGCTTGTCGTGAGTGATGACTGTTTGGGTGCTCTGCGCGATTGCCCGTGAAGAACTGCCCTTGGAATCCTACACCCCGAAACCACACGCCTAGATTCTGTATAGAAGCCTGTACAAGTAGCACTTTCGATGCAATCCTAATGCAACCCGTATAGAGCGCTTTCAGTTGCTTTAGGGAAGCTGATGATCCTGAGGGTTTGTCTATTTTCGGGTTCTTGGAGGTTTGAAGAAGCTGTACAGTGTACAAGGGCTTACAAGGATGTTAGACGACTCGGTGTAAGGTTTCCAGAAGGGTGTTGGTTTAAGGTTTTTCTGGGTCAGGGTTTGAGATTTAAGGTCCATCCAGCGCTTAGAACTTGAGGTTGGCGTCCTTAGGGTCTGGGGTCTAAGCTTGGGGTTTAGGTGTAGGTGCAGGGCTTTCACCCCCAAACAGTATTGCTGGTGCTCTCTGTTTCTTTGCACTATTCCGCGGAAGGTCTCTACAAGTTCTACATTTCCGTGGATGACAGTGTTGAGTTCTTCCTGGATGGCAACCTTGTGATCCAAGAAACCAGATGCGGTGTCTGGCGCAGCTTGCTTAAGGGAGTGTTGTCATACTATCATCCCTTCTAACGTTTCTCCTACCTCTTGTCGTCCCAACGCCCCCGGGGGACCCTAAACACTAAGCCCTAAACCCTCCCTAACACCTCAGAAATGCGGAGGAATCGATTGCACAAGGAAGGTTTTGGTCACAGCCCTTCTCAACTCCAGCCAGAACCCGAAGAGTCTCGTAACAACCCTTGCACCTACATTGTCTAACCGTCAAAGCAACGGCGGAAAACCCCTGAATCCGACAATTGAAAATGAGTCGTAAAACTAAACCCTAAGCACTATAAACCCTAAACCCCAAACCCTAAACCCCCTAAACCCCTAAACCCCCAAACCTGTAAACCCTAAGCCCTAAATCCCTAAGCCTTAACTCCTAAACCATAAAGCCAAGGTGATCTGGAGGCCTCGCTGAATCTGCAAGCCGGGGCGATCCCTTTTGCATTGCAGATGTGCCATGGCGAGGAGGGTTAAGGTGTTGAGCTTGGGTTTGGGAGTTTGGGTTTTTTGGGTTTGGGGTTTAGGGATTCTTCTGAGACTGTTGGAGTTTAGGGGTTTAGGGTTTAGGGTTTAGAGATTCTTCTCAGATTTTGGGTGAGGGTTTAGGTTTTAAGGTTGCAGATGGTTCCTGCTTCTTCTTTTGAAAGGGGGTTGGTTGAGGCCTGAGGTTCGGATCTTGAAGTTTGTTAGAGGGTGCTTGGGGTCTGCTAGTTTCTTGCAACAACCTATCAAGTCCGTAGAAACCCATTGAAACCTGCAAATCCTTGTCTTCAGCCATGCACAGGTACGAGTATGCGGGGGGGACGATGCTGCATCTGCACTATGAAGGTCCCGACAGCGGAGCGGCTGGGCGTCAAAACTTGGGCAAGACAGCAGAGCTGTACACGGTTCGAGGTTTTGAGGTATAAAATTCTCGCTTCCATCAATTATAGATAGATAGATAGATAGATAGATAGATATAAATATTGAAATTATGTTGAAACATATTTCTAAGAGAAATTCAAAGTTAAGATAACTATAGTAGAATATCCCCCCCAGAACCCTATTCTAATCATGAAGGCCCCTACATTACTTTGAAGTCTTCGTTCTGAGGACCAAAAAGTGCTGGTTCCAACCTCTGCCTTCACGCATATGCTGCTCGGCTATGCGGAGCACGGGTTGCGAAGCGTAGTTGCTACGGTTGATGATATAAAACCTGCATGACCGTAATAAGGAATATACCATAATTCCCATAGTTTAGGGTCCTTAGGGTCATGCAGGATTTATATCATCAACAGTAGCACTTTGTCGACGAAAGGCAATGTTTGATGCGCAGGGGTTCATACTTTCGACTCTCGATACGCTGGCAGCCCAGCCGCGTGAGACGACATGACCTAATATGGGGGGGCCTAAATAATTACCTACACTATATTGAGGGTTCCTGATCATAATTATAGTATTTACTATTTTGGGGGGTTCCTCATCAGAAACATAGTATAAATTATGGGCCCCCAAACCCTATTCAAACTATTAAGGCCCCTACAGTAAGCCTTCCCATGCTCACCGAAGGGTGTCCCTACAAGGTCCCTTTGGAGGTCCTTTCTTAGAAGGGTGCCGTACTATTTTGGGGACGCAAGAAGGGAACCTGACTTGGAAAACTGCCCACGCCTTGGAACATATTCAGAACATCCAGAACCCTCAACCCTAAACCCTAAACCCTAAACCCTAAACCCTAAACCCTAAACCCTAAACCCTAAACCCTAAACCCTAAACCCTAAACCCGAAACCAGTAACGAAGGCTACGGAAGGGTTTTGGTGTCCCCCGGGCCCGTGGCCGAGGGCGAACGCCAACACTGCGCTGATGACCGATGCATCCCACACCCGCGGCTGCGTGGGAAATACCGGCCTTGCCGGCATGAAAGGAATCTCGGGCTGAACCAGGGTTTGTGGGCTTAGGGTTGTAGGGTTGTAGGGTTGTAGGGTTTAGGGTTTAGGGCTTAGGGTTTAGCAACTCTGCTCCAACTTTTAAGCCGTCACTTCGGACTATAAGCACCGAGCGGCGAATCTTTAGCTCCATTCCAAAACCTGAGATGCAGCGCAGCAGCAGAGTTGCCCCAGCAGTTGTTCTGCGCAAGCTTCCGGTATAGGGCTTGGTCGTAAGTAGACACTGAAATCCATACCTCATGCTCTAAAGCCTACATTTATACACCCTAAAAACCCTATTTGTCACCTTTACTTGGGCTCTTACCGCAGACCGCAACCCTAAACCCTAAACCCTAAACCCTAACGCAGACCGGAGCGTCCGAATCTCTGTCAGAGGCTCCATCTTTGCGCCGAGCGGTCAGGCGCGTGTAACCTTTCACGGAGGTTTGGGGTTTGGAGGTTTGGGGGTTTAGGGTTTATATGGTTTAGGGCTTATGGTGGAATGATGATTAATGAGATAATCCGATTTTGGTTGAGGGTTTTTGCACACTGCCGCTGCTGCTGCTGCTCTTGCTGCTGCTCCTGACCTTGCTGCTGCTTCCTGCTGCGGCTCCTGCTGCGGCTGCTGCCACTGACACCACATGGGCAGTTCTCTAAGTTAGGGACCCTTTTTGGGGGTCCCCAAAACAATCCGGCATCCTCATAAAGAGGGCCCTAAACGGGACCCTAAGTTAGAGAACTACCCACAGCGATTCAGGGGCAATCCCCCCGACTTGAACTCGGAGCTTTCGGAATGGGCCTTTTTAATGTAGGGGGCTAAACAATTACCTATACTATTTTTTTTTTTTGGGGGGGGGTCCTTATCATAATTATAGTAAAAATGGGCCCCAAAACCCTATTCTAATAATTAAGGCCCCTATATTAGATACTTCCGTGCCTTAAGAGGACGCAGGGGCCCAACGGCATCTTGCTGCAGGACACCGGCGTCGCCTGCGGCTTCGTTCCGGTGGTGCGTCTTGTTTGCATGCTACGAGCTCCAGGCGAGCTACTAGGGAGTTTTCTAAATCAGGGTCCCTTTTGGGGTCCTTTTCATAAGGGTGCCGTACTATAGTCGGGACCTAAAAAGGAACTACCCACTAGATGGCAAATTATCCCCATGTTCCGGGTCCTTTTTCTGCTTAGCAAGTGAAGGGTTTCTGGTTGTACTGACGACTTCTATCCTCGTCATTCTGTGTTTTCTTCTTGGTACTGCCTGGGTGTGCTATATCGACTCCTTCTCTGGCTTTGTCTCTAGGAATTGTGTGTTCGTGTTCGCAGAGGACGCCCATGGGGCTTCAGGTGCATAGGGTTCCGGGCCCTGTAGACCATCACTGGTGTCCATGTAGTAACTCTTGTCTGTTGCTGTAGATGCCAGAGCCCTTCAGTGCAAGCCGCTCTGGCGAATCATCCGCTAAACCCTAAACCGTAAGACCCCTGAAATTGTTCAAGCATTACTCTGAACCGAAGCCCTAAACCCTCAACCCTAAGCCCTCGAACGCTACATCCTAAACCCTCAGCCCTAATTCAACCCAAACGAAGGAAGTCCGATTCTCCGATTGTTCTGCCCACGAGTAGCCGCTCGGCGGCTTCTCAGCTTCGGGCCGCTTCTGTGGATTTCACCAGGGGCTTCAGGGGAGGAATATAGGAGCCTCAATAATGACCTATTTAATTCTGGGGTGGTTTCTTATTCTACTTATACTGCAAAGGACCCCCAAAACCCTATTCTAATTCTTAAAGCCCCTAAACCCTAAACCCTAAACCCTACAGTACTTCAAAGGATTGGCAGGCTTTCTCGAGGTTAAGGGTACCCTAATCCCTAAACTCTAAGTCCCCTCAACGCTATATTATACCCTAAACCCTAAACCCCAAAACCCTATTCTAATTCTTAACCCTAAACCCTAAACCCTAAACCCTAAACCCTAAACCCTTAAAGCCCCTATATTATCGGTTTTTGAACTTCCAGGTTGACGGATTCGGGGTTGCGGGGGTTTTGCGTGGCAAGCAATGCCAAACTGGGAGTTTCCGAAAATTAGGGTACCTTATTTTGGGATCCTTACAATAAGGATCCTACTATTTAGGGTACCATATTAGGGTCCCCTATTTTCGGATCCCCCCAAATGGCTCCAGCGCAGTTCCTCAAGCCTGCGGTCGCAAGGATTTAGGGTTTCGGGTTCACGCTTTAGGGTTCATGGTCTATAGGGAGTTTAGGGCAGCATGCAAGCGCAGCCGTCCAATCCTTGTGTAGCCCTGCCTGCAATCTTGGGAAGCTCCATGCAAAAAGCAAGACTGTCACTTACGCGGACCTTAGTTTTGTAACCCCGAGGCCTTAAATTCTGAATCCGTGACAAGAAACTCCAAACCGCCTAAACCCTAAATCCTAAACCCTAAACCGCATCGATACTACCCCAATACAAGGGTCTCAATACCAAAAAACCTCTATGAACCCTAAACCCTAAACCCTAAACCCTAAACCCTAAACCCTAAACCTCTATGACTCTATGTCCTTCCAGCGTAAGCCCCAACAAGTCCCCAAGCCCTAAACGCAAATCCCGAAAGGCAGGGGACTAAAGGAGGGACCCTTGAAGGGACCCTTGGGGATATATAGGGGTTTAGGGTTTAGGGTTTAGGGTTTAGGGTTTAGGGTTTAGGGGTATAGGGGCTTTATGAGACTATATAAGGGGTATATAAGGGTTATAGAGGGTATTTGGATTAGGGGTCCCTTCTAGGAACCTCTAGGGGTCCCGCCTATTGTCCCTTAAGAAAGACAGGAAGCAAGAATGGCCAATGGCCGGAGTGGTGGGCTGAACTCCAGGATATGGACATCGAGTGCTCCTTGGATTTTGCATTTGATGATTTTTTTTAAATTTTCGTTTTCAGATCCGAGATTTTGTCTTGGGCGTGGGTCGGGCCTCCGGGTATGGTAGGGTGCATAGGGTTTCGGTTGGGGCTTTATGGTCTTTTGAGATTTTGGGTAGGGTTTTACCGGATCATTGTTTGTTTTTTCAAGGCTTTCTGGATAGGAGGCTTCATGAGCCCAAAGTTGGGTTTAGAAAATGAAGGGCTCTGACATCGACACCACTACTACTACTACTACTACTACTACTACTACTACGAATAGGATCCCTTGTGCCAGGGATAGTACAGAACGTACGCCCTACGTAGTGAATCTTGAGACACCAAGCTCTGGAAGCCGCACACAGGCCACCCCTATCCCTAAAGCGCAAACTGTTTTGTGGAACAGTTCCATGCCATATTTTTACACATGAAGTACCATGAAAAAGATGCCTAGTCCCTTAGATCCTAAACTCAAACCCTCCCTGTTCATTGACTTTGTTCAACCTCGAGGCCATAACCCTGTACGCTCTGGGCCTGAGCCCTGAACCTCAAACCTAAAGCGTCGTAAACAAGCCGACAATAAACCCCACCGGCACCCGCCGTCTCCGCGCAAAAGAAGAGTAGACCCTAAAACAGCCTTCTACAGAAGTCTATATGAAAGCCCCTAAACCCTAAACCCTTGACCCTAAACCCTAAACCCTAAACCCTAAACCCTAAACCCTAAACCCTAAACCCTAAACCCTAAACCCTTGACCCTCGCGCCCTTCGGCTTGCTGAGGCAGTGAAGGAAAGGTGCTGATGAGCATCGATACGGAGCCGCCAGGAAGCACGTTATTTAGGGTTTAGGGTTTAGGGTTTAGGGTTTAGGGTTTAGGGTTTAGGGTACGTATGTAGAACTTTCAACACTAGATGTAGCGATACGTATGGTGCTGAGGATCTGATTCAGGGTCTAGCATTTCTGGTTTCTTATCCTCTGAAAGTCCTAAAGGAGATAGTGCTTTGATGTTGGTATCTACCCAGCTGTACGGCATGCACTTACCTTAGAAAGCATGCTATATCACCCTTACTGCATATCGGACCCGGAATGACTGCGCAAGGGTTAAGAGCAAGCCCTGAACCCTAAACCGATCATACGGCTGATGATATAAATCCTGCATGACCCATCATAAGGAATGTACCATAATTCCCATAGTCTAGGGTCAATAAGGTAATGCTGGAATAAATCATAAAGAGTAAGGTGTCAGTCTTTGGGACTCTTGATCTCAGAGGTGTTGGGGGCCTGAGTTCCGGTTTACTAGGGTTTAGGAGGCTTGGATCGGGCCGGATGGGTTGAATGATTTATGGGGTCGAAGAGAGTCTACTAGGGTCTTATAGGGTTTTATAGGGCTTAATGGTTTAGTGGGGGTTTCATGGGGCCTAATTAATGGGGATTGGGGTGTTCTAGGTTTGGGAAGTTTGCTGGCTTGGGGTTTTGAACTTAGGGCGCTTGGTTTGGGCTTTTCAGCGTCTCTGTAGGTTGAACCCGGCACATCGGTCTCGACAGAACGGTGGGAAACCCCGAAGAGAAGGTGCAAGGTACCGTCAATCAGAAAGTTTAAAAGGAATCAACCCTAAACCCTATGAGCCCTAAACCCTAGACCCTTTAAAACAGTAGGATCCTGAATCTGAGAGCCCTCAACAGGGGACCAGTAACTCACCCAGAACCCCCAGAGTTTGATAAATCCCCAAGCCCCCAAGCCACTCAAACCCTGAGCCCTTGCCCTAGACGTAGACGTAAAGGTGGGGCAACCCTAAACTCCCCACGCGAACCCCTAAACCCTGAGCCCTTCTTGTGGTTTAGGGTTTAGGGTTTAGGGTTTAGGGTTTAGGGTTTAGCAAAGTTGCTCCAAAAAAAGCCCCAAAGGTGGGTCGACAACAAGATGCGGGTCGCCTACACTTGCGGGGTGGTGGCCGGGCTAGGCTTTTGCACGCCATCGTGGACGGACCAGCGCCAGCTTGGCTTGTTTTCTGGGTTTAGGGTTTTGGATTTCGGGTTTTAGGGCTCTGCGGCTGTTGGAGTATTTGGGGGGTTTAGTGGTTCAGGGGGTTTAACGTCAGGTTCGGGGTTCAGGAAATTGCCGCTCGAGAACGGCTTTAAGG